ATTTGCATCGGTACACAAATTGCAAGTATGAATTTTCTGCCTTACTAACAAAATAGCAACTCGCCCTTACCTCTACTCTTACCATTACAAGCAAAAGGAGAGTTCAACAAAATGTGCACGTAGTGAAGCTACATTTACGTCCAGAAGCAAAACAAGGGGTCATCTCAGCATTAGCTCAATGGATCAGGGATACTGGACAAAACCTGATCGGTCATTGGCTCGGAAGCTGAAGTATATTATTTGTTACAAACATATTAAGTCTTTAAAAAAATATCCAATTCAAATGTAAAGTAATTCAATGTATCACTGTTTTGTTAAAATAAACATTATTTTTCTTTTTGATAATCAGTATAGTCTCTAATTGTATAGAAACAGTTATGAAGCAGAAAACATTTTACTTTTAACTTAAATTTGTGAACCGATTTCATTTGTTTAATGTCATCTGGCAATGCATTGTAAAGTCTGTTGTCTTCGCAAGACAGGCAACTGTACTGTTTCATCGAAACACTGGAACTCACACCCCGACCAATGGTATAAGTGGTACAAGCACCGAGGTGGGACCAGGATGTATCATGCACATATACGCAAGGACTCCCAGAAAGGGGGAACTTCTCCGGGTCCAATCTTCGTTAGAAACCCGAAGTTGTTTCATAAAAAAAATCCAATTCAAATTAACCACCATAAGTTATTTTTATAGCAAATTAATTCTGCTTAGTGACTAAAGGGGGGTGTCGGAACTTTTATCTGAAATTGGGAACTCCGTGGATCGCGGTTCAAGATGAGGGTAATTCTAAGCGATGATCGGGATATACGAAGGCGCTCTTCACCCCAGAGCAGCGGCAGGTCGCCTGCAAGAGGCCCTGGTAACGTTTTAGCTCCGAAGATATTAGGAAACTAACTACTAAGGGTCTGTGACACAAAGCATCACTACTACTTTTAACATTTGAGAGTGGTTCCTTATTTATTTTAACACCTACCTTTGCTGAAGAATCTTGATTTCTGGCAGTTTTGGAGCCGAATTGCCCGATGGGTGCGTTACGGCCGGATCATAAAGATCCAATATACGGTAGTGGCTATGAATCCATTGCCTAACATGTATTACTCAGTTAATTTTCCCTGCCTAGACCACTTCAGATTTTTTTGTGAAAGCTGCTTGTTCCGTTAAAGTTAATAACTTTTGCTACCATTTCTGATTCAGGCTTTAAGATTTAACTTCCCCCTAGCATTTTAAACCAAATATCCGGTATTTATTTAGTAAATATTTTCATGCTCAAGTATTCTTTTTCAATGTGATAACATGACCTTTAATTCAACATTATTAAAATAATAGATGACTGAAAACCTTTGTAGCAAACAAAATTTTAAGTATTACAGTTTTTCAGATATGTGCACAATATTCTCTCACGTTTTTTTCTAGCTGGGTAAACTTTTATTATGTAAAGTGCAGTAATGTGCAGTAAATGTAAGGATTTTTTTCTCTTTCCTTTTTCCTGGGTCTTTTTCCAGCCTCAGGGGATATTAATTTTCATTATTTGTGCTGGGCACCCACTAACTCCCTCATGGGGACACATATTAACTTTTTACACTAGACATACACTAGCAGGCTCCTCTATCTGTGGACATCAGACTCACAAGGCCTTCCGTGACATCACACATACATGAAAGATATAGGACAAGACATGCTCATGGCAGGACTCCAACTCACATCCTTTCAGACCGAGGTGCTGAGTCAGCCACGCTCTGGCCACAGCCATCCAGGTCGGCAAAAATGAATTAAATTCTGAAGAATAAAATGTTGAATTACTTACACACTCATCTTTCACTAGTATTTCATAAAATGCCCCCAGATATCCATAATATTTCATACAAAAGCAAATGTTTTGGGGGACTCCCTATTGCCTGTGAAATGTTCAAATTAAATTATCAATCTTTTCAACACAACCTCAACCTTCAAAAGGAACAGGCATAAATTATATTAATACACTTGGGAGAAATTAAGTTTCATCACTATTAGGTCAACATTCAGTCATCTCCATTACTTCACTCCTTTTTCCAACTATTTTTTTTTAGAGAGAGTTTTTTGATAATTTGGCACAAATGTATGCAGCAGTTTGGTAAATAGTTTTTTGCAAACACAATTACAATACTTTCTTCTCATACATCTTTGTATCACCAACAAAAAATTTCTTTCACACATACACTACAATAAAAATTTTGTTCCTAAGTGGATTTGGAATTCAAATGAGGCTTTATATGATGCTTTGAGAGCCTAAATTGGAATGGAAATGAATGTTCACCAGAAGTTCAACATTGCATTGTGGTTCTGATTGAAGAATACAACATTTGAAAAAGCAACCCAACTTGAAGTGCTTACATTAAGAAATGACTGCAAACACACAATTGACTTCACTAATCTTGCCACAGTAGTAGTAGTTGTTTCAAAAAAAAATTTTAGTTCCATGACACACACAAAATGGTGCATATAAAACTTCATTACAAAGGGGGTTGAGGATATTACTGGTGTGATAATTTACCACATGTGAGATCATTTGCGTGAATACTTATTTTAGAAACTCAGGAATTCTATATTTAATGCCTTCAAAACAATACATTGCACATTAATTTATGTAACTGACCCCTACAAAAACGATGCCATTACATTTTCACTTCGAATGGACGTATACAAAGCATTTCTGTAGTTATATATGGAATGTTGTAAATGAAAAGCAGTATATTAGTCTCACTTTTCTGGAGACCACACAAAACAGTTCAGAAGTCATTACAAACATTATAACAGTGATACATTGTCATTAAATGCATGTAGTTTTTTTGCATCTCTGCTGTCTAAATGTTTCGAGCCATGGAATGTGGTGAGAACATTACATGTTATCTGATGGCACTCATTTATGTTCTTGGCAGATTATGCACTTCTGCCATAAATAGTAGAGAAGATGATACACTGGAGTTACTCAAAACCCATAAAACCGCTAAACAATTATCATAAACATTTTGCAGTAGTACACTGTACACGAGACTGATCTCAACCAAAAAACAAACCTGTCACAAAGTTAGATCAATTTCCCCTGAATACTTATGTTTAAGCATATAGAGAACATTTTTCTAAAGAAGAAACTTGGCAGTCTGCCAATTTATTCTGAAACAGAACCTCACAGATATGAATGGGAACCTGGACCAAAAAAACAAAACAAATGTAAGCAATTTTTGCTCTACTTAAATACATAAAAAATTAAAATATAAATCATGGAATTATATATTTTAATCGCAAATGTCTGATGGCCTTCCAAGGGTATTAAGTTTTCAGACTATTTCTGAAAACAGTAAGTGCAATGAAATACAAAGTTTTTACAACAAAACTAAACTTACAAAGATTTCTGGGCAATAAACTGAATTAAACAAAATGCACACACACATTTTATTGAACCCCATTCAACTGAAATTTTTTTGTGATTATAGGGTAGGATTCTGTTGGTGGTTTGGGTGTAATAATCCTTAAGAATGAGAATTTGCTACTTCAAAAAACTTTTTTCCCCCCTTTTTTCTTTTTCTTTCTTTCTTTCTTTTCCACTTTTGAGTAGATAAACTATGTACAGTAATAATTTCATGAGAACAATGAAGAATATTAACATTTGCAGTTTAGCGCAGTTGGCACATTCACTTTCTTTCAGAAAGGTTCTCCAATCACATCATATTCCTACCAACCTGATTTGCAGTGGTAGTTCAAGAACAAATACATTACACTGAAAAACCAAAAACAAAACAATATATTTTGGTGTGTTGAGCACTTGATATTTTATTATGATGCCCTTCCAATAAAATTTAAAAAATTAATGAACACAAATAAATAATAAATGTGAAAAAAATATAAATTAAATGATTTATCAAGGTGTCCAGTTTTAAGGAAAATTAAGTAAAAGACCTCTTTACATTTGCGACGCTAAAACAGTAGCTGTGGCAATTTCTATTAAGAATCAGTACACAAAAAGGTTTCTTACACAGAGAAGGGAAAAAAAACAACAAAAAACCAAAGACTTTTTGAATTTCATGACTACTAACAGAAAATAATGTACCTTTTTTTTGGAGGGGGGGGTATTTTTACTCAAGTAATTAGCTAATTCATAAAACAAATAATCATAAAGGCCTGTCATTTTCTGACCCATCAGCAATAATGAATTAGTTATCAATAAAAATTATTTATAGTCTTCAGAATCTTAAATAATAAGACATGTCAGAGCTACAGCTGTAAATGCAAGTAATGCTATCCATCTATACTGAATTTCTATTCATGTAACAGCATACTGCACTATTACTACAATCATGTTTTTTTCACTTGAAATCTTTACAGTTAAAATAAATAACTTTAAAATGTATGATAATCCATTCTGTAAAGTGTTTATGTCCCTGAACAACCAACCATACATTCCCAACAATTTCCACCTAGATATTATATATAAAGCCTCATTCTCATGATCAACCTGCCACAACAGAAGCTGGGATCCTGAATTATTTTTCACATAAAGGTTTGTTATGGACGGACAGTTGATTATGTTAGAAAAAGGTTAAATGAATGAATTCACAGACTTATTAAACAAATTTTTAAAAGGGTAAAATTAAGTCTCTAAATCTGACATACATGTATGAATTTATTTTTGTTAAATTTACTATCCTTTTTGCTTTCATATTTGTACAATTCTCATTTTTCCTGCAGACTAGACACCTTGTTGTTATTTGCTTAATCAGTACTATGTACTAGGAAACCTTGCTTGACAAATAAAGATAGGTTACAGTATATGGCCCAGTCAACCATTCTTATTCTTCTGTGACAAGCTGCACTCAACTAACATTTGTCCACCCACTAAATGGAGGGGGAAAAACAACAACAACACACACACACACACACACACACACACAACAAACAAATCCTCAAACATAATTACATCATTTGAAAATGTTTATATTACAATGAAACACCAATCCTCAACACATGCAGAAGAGCTTAAAAACGCTTGTTTTTCATTTTGTGCAAAGATCTTGAAGTTATAAGAATTAGCAAATAATGTATACAATGTCAAAGTAAAGTGCCAAAACTTATTAGAAACATAACTATTTAGACAATAGTTCAGAAATGATACGTGGAACATCACAATGCTTAGATGTTCTCTTTAAAAAGAAAAGAAGCCAACTAACCATCTGCAAACAGGAATGAAATCCATGTACAGCAGAGACATAAATTTTGCAGGAGTTTAAAGCATCTCCAGAGAGTTATTTAAGAATGGAGGAAGGCACTACAATCCTTTTTGTCTCAACAAAATCCAATAACAATAACAACAAATAAAACAAACAAAATGCATACTTCTACAGTTACTGTATCTTTAAATATTTCCTTCAGTAACACTTGGTTTTTATGACATGAAAAATCATTTATATCACAGTAGTTGGGGCACTCTTGAAGATAAAAACACAATGTTTCAATGTTGAAATTGCTTGACATCACAGCTAATAAACAATACAGAATTGCTACTTTAGAAGTAAAAAAAGAGAGAAGCTGTTTTACAAAGACTTTTCAATCAACTTACTGCATTCATCTAATGCATGAAAAACACCCTGCTATAACCTTAGAGGGGCACAAGTCCTCCAATATCTTGAAAATATTGAAATGACTCGTATCTACTTCTCACATGGGGGTAAAATTAACAATTTCCTGAATATTGTGTCACCAAAAATGCATATAAATGTAGTTCAAGATTTTCAGGGTAGCTCCATTACACCAATAACTTGGTCTAGATTCAATTACAGAATGCAAAGACGAGGGAGAGACTCGATATTCAGGTTTAAAAAAAAAAGGGGTGATGTGAAATCTACCCTCAAAAATTAATTCCTTGATCAGAACACTGATTTCATTCTTTTCAATTATAACTGCAACTAATATATAAAATCAAGATGGTACATACTTGTTATTAAACAGTACAATAAATCCCTTCAGGAAGCAAATATTTTCCTTGTAGATTAGCAATTTTGAACATGAATCTATAACATGACTAACTTTCCATTTTTTAATAAATTATGATAAATCTTTGGGTTCACTACATCACTTCAATTTAGGAGATAAAATCTATGCACATGAAGAAAGATGATGTGCTGCAGAGCAAAAGGGATTAATTGAGAGGTTGCCAGATTTATTATGGTAAAAACAAAAGAACAATTCCAAATACTAATGTAAATAATTTACTTAAGCCTTTCTGAAACATTTTATTGGATAAATTTAATAAAATTCAATAAATACTTAACAAAACAACTTTACAACGGATACTAAATATTTTAATACACATTTGAAACTTTATTTTTAAATAAAAAAAGATTGGCACTTAATATTTTTTGGATCTAGCTTATTTCTAGTTTGGGGTTATACAAATTGCAGAACAGATATGCTTTTATTTGGCAGCAAACTTTCTTTGTAAGAACTAATCATAGCAGAGGCAAGAAATATTAAGAATATTTAATTTCACCAAACCAAAGATTGATGCATGTCAATATTAGTTAAAAATCAAAGTAATGAAATTTAATGGATAAGGAGTCGATATCAATGGAATTGTCAGAATGTTAAAAAAAAATTGCAATTTGGCATCCTGGCTACTTTGACACTTATTTCCAAGTCCATAACAAACGATTAAAAGAATCTGGAAAATGATGTTCTGAAGCCGTCTCTCTGCATTCCAACTCTTCCCAATGTAATGTTTGCTACTGCTATCCATCATTCACAATCCATCAAAACATCCATAGTTATTTAGCATTTCATCATAAAATACTAAGTATGTTATCAACATACCTGATAGTTGTTATAAAATTTTATTTAAAACACATCCTACTTGGTATTTTGGATTTCCATTTATCACAAACACTTGGAATTAATAAGAATAATAATTTCTGAGGAGCTGATCAAAAAAGAATCTGGATGATACAATTCATACACCATTTAATTGACAAATTTACAATTCTAATTCCCTTCATTAAGTTTACTGATCATTCCATTGATACTAGCATTTCAAAATGTTTGTCTTCCTGCCATTTGATTCAGATCTGTTCCTTTAAATCATAATCCCCATCAGTTCCTGCTTGCTTATAGTGCTAGAAACTTGCAAATCAATGGCATACCCTTGGACTCATGAGCATCACCAGCACCAAATTATTGGAGGAGACGATTCAATAGATAGGAACAGATTACTAGGAAATCTCCCCTAATATACTCAGTATATCAAAAGATAACGGGGATTTTCCCATTTTCCCCTTCCTAGCTCCTGTTAGTGACGCACATGTTTGGACTTACGAAAGGGTAACAGAAATCAGTAGAGATATGCAACAACACTCAATCATAAAGGTAAGTTTTTTATAAATTATCTTAGCTTTTCAGCAAACTAGTTTCAGGTAAATTTTATTGGTTTTATAGTTAACATATTGGGAGTGATTGTGCACAAAACAACAGATTTATGATTATGCTTAAAATGCATTAATAGTCGCATCAAATAAAGTAGTTATTTTCTCAATGATAATCAAGGTGTATTTTAATTGCATAATAAACTTTGGAATATTTAATTTAACACAGCAATATTTTGAGGAAGAAGAAAATAAAAGAGGTAACAGTAACAAACCCAAAGATTGTGGTGTAATTTAATGATGTAGTGAACCCCTTAATTTTAAGTATGTGCTACCAATAGAGTGAAGTTATTTTATTGGTTCTCGAGTCCAAGGAAACAAAATTTTTGCAAAACCAAACAATGCAAATAAAACACATAGTTTATCTAGTCATAGCAATCACAAATTTTGAAAAGAAAAATATTAAAACCAATGCAGATATAATTTATCACAGAAAAGAAATATTAAAGCATATATATACACTGATTACATTTTCAGAACACTCATTACATTTTCAATGGCCTCGGCTGAGCCATAAACTTAAAACAGTTATTGATCACTCAAAAATGGGGAACAAGTATCCTCGTGGCTCCAAAACTGCAAGAGAGGGCTGGTTGCAATATTTTCATTCGGTCGTTCGGTGGCTGGGGCTGTGCCTGAGAGCGTGCCGCGAGGAAGAAAGAGGGCCGGGCCGGGCCACGGTGTATGTTTAGCCCTCGGTGTTGACCGCCTCGCGCGCGTGGTGGATCTTGACGTGCTTGTTGTGGTTGGACTTAGTGCTGGAGGTCTTGCCGCAGATGTGGCAGGCGAAAGGGCGCGCGCCGCTGTGGATGCGCATGTGCTCCTTGAGGTAGTAGCGCCGGTGGAACGCCTTGTGGCATACGTCGCACGAGAACGCCTTCTCGCCCTCGTGTTCGCGCGCGTGCCGGATGCAGTTGTACTTGCGGATGAACTGGCTGCCGCAGTAGTTGCACGTGTAGGGCCGCACGTTGCGGTGCGAGTGCATGTGCGCCGTGTACTCGCTGTGGCGGATGAACGCGCTCTTGCACAGCGAGCACTTGAAGGGCTTGAGCGAGCGCGCCGCATGCGTCCAGCGGTGCAGCTGCAGGTTCCACTTGGTGCTGAAGCTCTTGCCGCAGATGTGGCAGCTGAAGGGCCGCTGCCCGCTGTGTAGGCGCATGTGCACCGCCAGCGACGTCTTGAGGAACACGCAGCCGCACACCGGGCACTCCACGTTCTCGGCCTCGCGGCCCGTGCACGGGAAGTAGCGCTGGTCGTGCGCCTTGCGGATGTGCCGCGTGAGGCTGGACGCGTGCACGAAGCGCTCGCTGCAGTAGCTGCACGTCTTGGGCTTCTCGTCGTGGATCTCCTTGTGCCACAGCAGCTTCTTCTGCGAGTGGAACACCTCCCCGCAATGGCAGATGAAATCCTTCACTTTTTTCTTCAGCTTCAGGTGGTGACGGTTTTTATGCTGAATCAGGTTGCTGTAGCGGCGAAAAGTCTCGCTACAGAGATTGCACTTAATCGGAGTATTGCCCGTGTGGGTGTTAGTGTGCTCCGCCAGTTTCTGTTTGGTAACGAAAGATTTGTCGCAAATAGAACACTTAAACGGCTTTATTCCAAGATGGCGTTTAATATGTAAATTTAAATTTTGATGTCTATAAAAGTATTTCCCGCACCGCGAACATTCCAAGGGGTGAATTTTGAGATGTGCCAAATAGGTAGGCTCCGACGGGAACTTCTCTCCGCACGTGCGGCACGTAAACTGGCTTTGCCCGTGAACGGTTCTTACGTGACGGTGTAGGCTTTTCGCACTGGAAAACACGTTTTCACATCTCGAACAAATAAACTTAAACGCGTTCTCGTCCGCACCCGGTTGCTCCTCCAAGTCTTTGACGCCCTTCAGGCGCTCCTCGTCGAAGGCGCCGGGCTTGAGCTCGTCGAGGTCGTCGTCCTCGTCGGCTGCGGCCGCCTGCGCCAACGCCAACGCTTCCGACTTGAAGCCCGCCTTGCAGTCCTCGCCCTGCTCCTCCTTGACGCGGCCGAGGAGATCCGCGGCCGCAGGGGAGTCGCGCGGGGCGGGGCTATGCGCGGTGTCGCTCTGCCACGGCTCCGCCTTGGCCTCGGCCCCGGGCCCGCCCACGCGCGGCCCCGCGTGCTTCTCGCTCTGGTGCACGCGCCGCTCCTTGGGGCACGTGAACGTCTCGTCGCACGTCCAGCACTTGTACACGCAACGCAGCTTCTCCCGCCGCTTCTTCTTGGGCTTGGCGTCATCGGCGGTGGCGGTCGTCGTCTGGGGGGGCGGGGGCGGGGGCGGGGGCGGCGGCGGCGGCGGCGGCGCGGTCGGGAGCGGGCTCACCGAGGCAGGGCTCGTCGCCGGCGGGCTGGCGAATGGGGGGCTCGCCAGAGGCATGGTCAGCGGCAGCGGAGGGCAGCCCGTCGCCACCTTTAGCAGCTTCGTTGGCACCGGGCTTGCGCCCAGGTCGCCGTCGTTCTCCGCATCCGACCCGTCCGAAGCCTCCCACTTCTCCCGCGCCAGTAGATCGTACGATGTCGTCACGTCGTCCTTCTCCTGCAACATACGGGTTTGCCCCTCATCAGAACAGCACCGACACACAGGAGTATTACAGTTTGTATCGAGGATTTGCTTTAAAAAATCTAACATCAAAAACTATTTCGCGTTATTTAGGTATTTGGTAACAACTTTAATGACCTAATCGTCTCCCAAAAACAAAATATCACCATATCCTCACACGATTAAGATGCTCAATTTGATTCCATATACAACAAGAACTTTACTTTATACACACTAATTAAAGAATATACTTTCAGAAGCACCCTTTATCGAATTGCTTTAGATTGGCACACGGAAGAATGAACTTAACAAGGGAGATAACAAAAGAACTAAATCAAAAATTTGCTGAAGCATACATATTTGTAACCTAATTGTCGAACCAAAAGAATTGGCAACGTTCTATAGATGTGTACATTAAAATATTTTTGGTGGAAAATCACTAAGTAACTGAACTGTCTTAACGGAGATAATTCGTCATTGTTTTCCAGTGGATGAGGAACAGTATCGAAGTTGTAGGCGGTGGGGACCGCTTTTTCGGTACAATTCAGCTCATAACGAATTTTGACAAGACAGAATTTCAGAATTCGATAGCCGATCGATTGCGCGTCAAAAACCAGCCAAGAAGATCAAACGTCCATCGCCTGAAACGCTTTGGACCTTTACAGATTCATCAAGAGCTTTGAAAACGACGCAAGAAGCAGCAACAATTGGCACACGGAAGAATGAACTGGATACTTTCGTCGATGGAAGGAAATGTTAACTTTACGTTAAAAAAACAACAATGTGTTAAAAGAGGGTTTAATAATGGAGAAACAACAGTGCTACGAGGACGGCTGTTGTGTGGTACGACTTATAGTAACCTGAGGAATCAAAAATAATGTCCTTGGGGGCGTTTTTAGAGGTCTCCCTGCTTGATTAACAACAGTTAAAACTATGCGAAGCATGCGAGAGGTTCCGTCTATGCACTAACTGAGCAGTCGTCCCTTAATATTTGATGGTTAATTTCAAACTGGTTTAATGTCCGGATAGCTGCAGAAATCCAAGAACATTTGATTACAAGCATGATTAAATGAACGAGTACGAAGAGTGTAAAAGAATGGACCTAGAAACCTGGGAACTTGTAAAAAAACATTTTCTCGTGTAAGGAATTAGAGACTACGGTTCATGACAAAAAGGAATCTTAAATGACAAAATTCCTGTTTATTTTTTTTATTATTACCTTTTTCTTTAATCTGTAATGAGAATTTGTGGTGTCATATCTGTCGCCACTACAAACGTACCAAATATCAGCCACATAGAGCTGGCGGAAGAGACGCTGGGCTGCACAAAGGCTAGGGAGAGGAAGGGAAGGGGTGCCGTGTCGTTGGTGGCAAACTTGGAAACCCCGGAGGCGGCGAAAACGCGTCAGCGGACACAGCGGGTGACGCAGTTCCGTCAGCCTGCCCAGAAGGTATATAAACGGGCCCCGACCTAAGCTCTTTCTTCTGATTTTTGGGCGCGTCGGTAAGACGTCGTGTGGGTTGTGGGCGGCTCTGCATTTTAATGCATAGGCTACCGAGGCAGGGAACCGAAGCCGGCGTGCTACATCGAGATGGGAGGTGCGGTATACTCGATGGTATGCTCGCGTAGGCTACTGGTGCATCATACCGAATATGGTATTTAATTATCAGGCCAGCGGTGGTGGTAACCAGGGAACGTTCCTTCTTGTAACGGTCAAATTTGTTATTTGTAAATATTGTACATAGTATTATGGTGTTGTAGTATTTTTATTCGAATGAATACTTAATATTTAAAAACTGTTCACGTCTGTAATTTATGGCCCCGGCAAAGACGCCACCAAATCCAGTCCTGAATTTCGCCCAGTAGAACACCGTGAATCCAAAGGATGGACCATTTTGACGAGTATAATGATATTACTGTAAAGAGTTATTGGTTACTTTATTTGCGAGAGGTATTACTGAATGACCATTCCTAGCAACAATTACTTTTTCATACAATAGTGGAGTGAATAACAGTAAATGCTGGGGGTGCGGATAAGGCTACATAACGGCATTCTTGGTGCGAAAAGAGCCGGTGGTAGCTTCGGCACACTCTGGTTGGGAGAGAAAGAGAGGCACTCGCGCACTTCCTCTGGCTGACAAAAAGTCGCCTCGCGAGTGCTCTTCCGGGCTGCGCTTTGACAGTCCAACCAGCCTCCAAACCGACTGTACAAACCCACAATAATTTTTTCATGAACGATTTTTAAACTCACGAAGGAAATATATTCAGTACGTCGATGGAAATGAGAATTTCAAGGTAGTTGCACGAAATAAAATTCAAAGACGGCTAGGATTTTGGCACGCGTTTAACTAAGGAATGTCACAAAAACCGTCAGTTCGCACTGCTGCTTCAGTGATGAAAATTATGCTGACGACAAAATATGAAAACGTAATACGATCTACTCCACAAGCTTACGTAGTGAACAGCTCTTCTATTATAGAAAAGCATATTTCTATTTGGTATTGACTGCATTAACACCTAATTATATTGGCCTTCATGTAAAGGCTGACCTATTCCAAGAGACAACATATTAAAGATCTGGTGCGTTCTATGGTTCGGAAATTGTTTCCTGACTGATACATTTCAAAATGGCAATGAATACAAAAAGGGAACTGTCCAGTAATGATTTGAAGAAAAAAGGGTGGCTACAATTTTTTTTTTTTTTTTTTTTTTTTTTTTTTTTTTTTTTTTTTTTTTTTTTGGAAACCATTTCTCTGACTTCTCCCGGCTTTCTAGTAAGGAGCGAAGTGGAATAAGATGAGCAAAAGTGTCCCCCGAGGATAACATTATGTTGAAAATTGTACTTAAAGTGAAAAAAAAGGTTTTTCGCAGGATTTAAATTAATTTATCCAGAGTACTTCGCACAAATGGAAAAAACGTGTTGTTTAGCTTCTTATATCAGTTTAATTTAAAAAAATGACATACCTTGTGTCCCATTTAACTTGACAACTTGAAATAACTCAAAAAATATGCGATGTACGAAAAATTGAGCCGCGACCAAATCATAATAGTTTTGAAGGTTTTGAAGGAGGAGCCAAATTCAGCACCCCCCTGCCCTCAGCGGGTGGGGCAGTGGGCAACATCGAAATCTTACATAGGAACCTCCATTTTTTATTCGTATTCTACGGACAAAATGTTTTGTCTGAAACTTTTTTCTGTATAAAATGTAACATAAACGTTTCATGTTATTATTTTCTTATTTTTGCCTTCTCCCATAATTCGATCTATAATGCAGATGTTGGAATTTCATAGCACTCTCCTTCCTGGAAAAGGTGCTCTTTGGCATAAAGTTAAAAAAAAACGCTTGAAAAGATAAACTCTTCGAACTGTCATTTAAGAACTTTCGATTTTCAAAACCAGCCATGTTTATTTATTATCACTAGGGTGCGTATTTTGATGAGAGAACATTTAATAATGACAATAAGTTCAAAAATGCTTTTAAATGCTTTAAAATCCCTTAAAACAAAGAAAAATGACGTAAACATTTCAAACACTTCAGATGAACTCAAGCTATTGGATATTGTTACGAATATTGCATCACCTGCCGAATTCGCTGCGCGTGGATTGCGTCATCAGCCGGCCCTTCCCCCCGGACTAGACGGTTCCGGACTATCCGCGAGCCGTGGGGAATCGCCGCGAATGTGCCGGGTGCCAGGAGACAAGCGCCGGGCAGGTATAAAAGCGCTGCTGCCGGCGGCCGCAGGTCAGAAGTGAGTAGAAGTCAGTGGGTAGTAAGACGCCAGTGAGTAGCAGAGAAGCAGTCAGTCCGTCAGTGTGTCCGAAGTGGAAGCTGTGCTGTGAAGGGTGCATCGTGGTAAGCAGCAGTGCAGTGGACCCTGGTGTGCGCAGGGAATTGTGGTCTGCGCAGGGAATTGGGTCAGTGCAGTGGACCATGGACAGAGCATCGGACTGGGTGATACTGCAGAAGAAGAGAACGGTGTAAATAAAATAGTGTGTAAGAAGAGAACTGTGTAAATAAATCATCAAGAGAACGGAATCATGTGTAAAGAAAAATAATTAAGTGTAATATATCTGTAAATAGACCACGTAGATTTTAGTGTATAATTGTTCACGAATAAACGTAATTGTTTAAATATTGTGTTGGTTTTAATTCACCACAGAGAAACGTTACAATATGTTACTGATGTAATCGAAGCTACTTACTTCCTTGTGTTCAAGTGAAATCAGCTTGCAATTTTTTGGTTTGGACTTTTTAAAAAAAATCTCTGCCTTTATTTATCACAAAATCGGCCGAAGTGACAATAGCGCCGATAGGCGTCACATGAACCTAAGATTACACACTACTCGCAACTCCTGACAATATATGAGTGAAAAAACCTAATTCTGGGGATGAACATTTGTTGCACTTTGTATATATTGTTTGAAGCAAATACCATTATAATTATATTAAAATCAATATCAACAAAAAAGTCATTAAAAATGACGTAAAAAGATGTGACTTCATAGTGGAAATCGACGGAAAATTCACAAAAATTACACAAAAATGTATGACAGTCCATTCAGACTCGTCACAATAAAAAAATCTGACATATTTAATTGTTGAAAAAACAATCGAAAGACTATAATGACTGGAGAAGACACAGAAGGATGATAGATGCCGAGCCGACGACACGGTGTAGTACGTGCTGGCAATTTTCGTGAAAACGTGTCGCCGTGACTGGCATAAAAATATTTTGAGGAAGATATCGTGTGATCTGGTAGACTCAAGATGCACATCCGCGAATTGTATATAAACATTAATAAGTTAAGATATGTCGTGATTGCAGATGCGAATTTTGAGGCCCAAACGTAGACAACTAATGGAAGTAGGACGCGGACGATACACAAAAACGTGTGCAGATACGATTTCAACGTGGAATCCCAGAAATGGTGGAAGGACGACGCTACGGGCCGAGTGATTCTTCTCAGCGCCAAGATTGTAGTGCTTCCTCACCTTC